CAATCTAAGTGTCCATCAGTAGATGAATGGATGAAGAAGATGTGGTACATATATACAATGGAATACTATTCAGCCATAAGAAGAAAACAAATTCTACCATTTGCAAGAACATGGATGGAGTTGGAGGACATTATGCTCAGTGAAATAAGCCAGGCAGACAAGTGTCAAATGATTTCCCTCATTTGTGGAGTGTAACAACGAAGCAAAACTGAAGGAACAAAACAGCAGCAGACTCAGAGACCCCAAGAAGGAACTAGTGGTTACCAAAGGGGAGGGGTGTGGGAGGGTGGGCGGGGAGGGAGGGAGACGGGGACTGAGGGGTATTATGTTTAGTATACATGGTGTGGGGGGATCACGGGAAAACAGTATAGCACAGAGAAGGCACATAGTGAATCTGTGGCATCTTGCTGCACTAATGGACAGTGACTGCATTGCGGTACGGGTGGGGACTTGATAATATGGGTAAATGTAGTAACCACATTGTTTTTTCATGCGAAACCTTTATAAGAGTGTACATCAATAATACCTTAATAAAATAAATAAATAAATAAAAAGACAACCAACAGAATGAGAGAAAATACACACAAGTTGTATCTCTGATAAAAGGTTACTTTCCAGGACATATAAAGAACTTCTATAATTCAACAAAAAAAAAAACTACAAATAGCCCAACTCAAATATAGGCAAAGGACTTGAACAGACATTTCCCCAAAGAAGATATTACCAATGAGCACGTGAAAAGATGCTCAACATCAGCCTTTGGGGAAATGCAAATCACATCTGCAATGAGACACCATTCACTAACATGGCTCCAAAAAAAGCAAAGTAAGAAAAAAGAAAAATGTGTTGGCGAGGACATGGAGAAACTGGACCCACTATACACTGCTAGTAGGAATGTTAAAACAGTACAACGAATACTGAAAAATTTGATGGTTCCTCAGAAGGCTAACTACATAATTACCATACAATCCAGCAATTCCACTCCTTGATAGCTATCCAAAGGAAGTGAAAGCGGTGGCTCGAGCAGATACTGTGTTTGTCAATGTTCACAGCAGCATTGGTCACGGCGTCCAGAAGGCACCGCCCAAGTGTCCACTGCCGGACCGATGGATACACAGTGTGGTCCAGAGGCACAATGGGATGTCACTCAGCCATGAAAGGAATGGAGCCTTGGCACCTACTGTAACAGGGATGGACCTGGAAAACATGATGTTCAGTGAAGGAAGCCCGACATGGAAGGACAACACTGTACGATCCCACTCACATGAAGTACGTAGAATGGGCAAATTCACTGAGACAAAAATGTAGACCAGCAATTGGGGCGGGAGAATGGGGAGTGATTCCTAAGGTTTATAGTTTCTGTCTGGGTGATGAAGAAGTTTTGGAAATAGACAGTGGGGATGGTTACACAATACTGTGAATATAATTAATGCCACTGAACTGTATACACTTAATGTGGCAAATTTTGTTATATTTACTTTACCACAATTGAAAGACTTAATAGTGCAATACACCAAAAACCATTGTATTATACACCTTGGTGGGTGAATTGTATAGTGTGTGAATTTTACATCCATACAGCTGTTGAAAAGGAAGACATAGGAATGGCCGCACGAAGTGATTCATAGCATTAGCTGGTGAGAAAATGCAAATAAAGCCACAAAGATCACCTCACTCCCACCATAACAGCAGGTCAAAGTGACAGATAGTGACAAGTGCTGGCAAAGATGTGGCGAGATGAAACCGTCGCTCACGCCTGGTGGAAACGCAACATGCCGCAGCCACACTGGAGACAGGCAGCTGGACCTACAGGTGCAACCCAAGAAGTCCACTCCTACGTTCCCACCCAAGAGAAACAAAAGCTCATGTTCACACGAAGACTTACACACAATGCTCATAGCAGGATTATTCAATGCAGCCCCAAGATGGCAACAGTCCAAATGTCCATGTGCTGAGGACCTGATCAGCGGAATGTGGTCTCTCCGCACAGTGGAGCACTGAGCCACCATATAGGTCACAACACGATGACCCTCCAAACATATGAAATCAAAGAAGCCAGATGCAAGTCTGTGCACTGCAGAATTCTAACGTATGAAATGCCCAGAGCCAGGTTTACAGAAACAGATTAGGCGAGTGTGGCCTGCGGCTTTAGGGGCAGAGGCGGGGGGCATGCTGCAGTGGGGCACATGTCCTGCAGCCGGGGTGCGGTTAGGGCTGTGCAACTTTGTAAAGTCTCTAAAAGCCACCGAGTAATATACCTGCAGTGGATGAACTATATGATATGTAAATTATACCTCAATAAAGCTGGCTTTTTTTCTTTTTTTCACAAATCAGAGGAAAGAATGGCCAGTTGCGTAAGGGATTTGGGGGAAGGGCCCAATGTGCGGAGAAAATCTAGCTGGGGCTCTACCTCCACCACTACTGGCTGAGCAGCTGACCTGTGGAGTCTCCCTCATCCCAAGGCCCAAGACCAACAACTACTTTCACTGTTCCATTCCCCACGTGGTAGGTACTACCCTGATCCAAATTTTACACAAAAGGAAACCGAGGGCCAGAGGGGTCACAGCCACAAGTGACAGGGATGGGGATGGACTGGCATCTGCGCCCCTCACTCTAGAGCTACACTGGAGAAGATGGAGGAGGGCCCCATGGCCTCATGGGTGCAGATCCTGGGTGCCAGACCACAGAGCAAAAAATGGAAGGACTGTGTACCCGTGACAAGAAGGATTTCGGCCTATGGAGAAAGCCAAGGGCGAACTCAGGAAGTGGTGGCAGGGGCTGTCTGTGGTGCAGAAATGGAAGAAAACTTTCAGAAGGCTAAGAGCTTCTGTGAGGCAGGATGAGGCTGGGCACGGGAGCAGCCACGGACAGGGGGGATGCCCAGCCACTCAGCTCACTGCTGGAAGCCCTTCAAGCTGGTGGAGCCCTATGCGTCTGGGGAGCAGAAGGTAAGGGAGTCCACAGAGCAGAACAGGGCAAGTGCACAGGGCCCGGGGCTACATCAGGCACGTCACGGTGAACCTGTGGCTTCAGTACAGCTGTGGCCATGGGATTGTGACGTACAGGGTATTTCCGGGAAGGCTGAGACCAGTGACACCCCAGCTGTGATAAGCACCCAGTGCCCAGACCTTGAATTTCAAACACAATGGGAAGGAGCTGGCTCCTGGGCAGAGTGGCCACTGCAGGGCGAGAGAGGTGAGCCTGTGGCCCCCAGATCCACCAAGAAGCAAGGACATGGCCAAAAGGCATATCAGGGGCCCCTGAGCATTACAGTGGGTGGGACACAACCGGCAGGAACCCACTGAGCACTGAAGGAATCCCAGCCACCACTGCATGCGTGGAGGGCCAAGAGAGGAAGCTCCTCCTTGGAGAGCCACCAGAGAGCGTGGAAGGGATGAGGGCCTCGCCGTGTGACAGGTAAGAGACATCAGTAGCTACTAAAGCCACAGAGAGGGCAAGGGGGCTTTTCTGAGTCAAAGTGTGTCCCACAACATCAGCGTTAATCAGAGCAGAAGACAACCACGTCCAGTGACCAAGGGGAGCCCACCACTCGCCCAGGAGGGCAGTGGACTGCTGCCAGGGATGAGGAGAAACACATGGCCTGATGACGGGAGCCCAAAGGGGCCATGTCCCGAAGAAGGCCACCGGAGCTCTCTGAGTGTCCTGAGCTAAAGGAAGGAGGTGAGCAGCCGCAGGTCTGCAGTAGCCTCATGGCAGAAAAGGGGAAGGAGCAGAGATTTACTCCCAGTCTAAATTATTCACAAGAAAAGGTGGCGCGCCTCTTTAACAAGCCATGGCTTTATGAAGCAAGGTTAACAATTTCACTTGATTCAGTGGAATATTATAAACTCTCTGGGGCCCGTTTGAGGACTTCTACTTTGGGAGCAAGCTGACGACTCAGCACTTTTTATATTATTTAGAGAATAAAGTTAACCCTCGCTGGGCCAGGCCGCTGCCTCCCCTCCCATGATCCGGCCTGCTCAGCGCTTTCCCATATATAATTACAAGCTGCTATCCATCATGTGGAAGCCACGCAGCACCCACACGCCGAAACGGACGCAGTAAGCACTTCCACTAACAGAAGCAGAACTCAAGTATCGCTGTGATATTTTTGTTTAAGTTGGAATAGCTTTACAATGATCATCCACAGCCTCGGTCCTGCCCCCAACGCCACCTGGGCCACGCCTCTCTGGGAAGGGCCTGCCCGCCTGGGCTCTGGGCGCCCTGCAGGGTGACCCGTCAGCTCGCAGCCAGTCCCCACGTCTGCAGAGACAGCGACGGCCAAGGCGGCAAGGAAGGGAGGCGTGTGGGCCTGCATCCATGGGGGCCCCTAAGCAAGCCTAAGACCTGGTGGCCTGCAGCTTGCCCTGCACTGAACCTGCTTCAGGCCCAGCCCTGATGCCCTGATGCCCTGGGCACCTGTAGAGGGGCCTGGTGTCCTTGACTTCACTGAGCAGCCCCAGTCCTGGTTCCCAATCCAGACTGCAGGTCACTGAGGCCAGGTCTCATTCATAAGGGTTTGGGGACAGGGGAACAGCAGGCCCCTGGGCTAGTAAGTTGGCTCCTCTTGGGGTGCCAGGAACTGAAGAGACCCACACAGGGGTCCCCAGCCCAGGGTCATATCAGCACATTAAGCCTCCCACTGCTCCAGCAGCCCTAGGGGGGGTAAAGGGGAGGGGCCTAGGGAGGAGCAGGCAGGAAGCTCTGAGGGAGGGCTCTGCACAGGGCCAGAGCACCTGCATGGGGGATGACAGGCAGGGCGGCCATTCGGAGGGAAGGAGTTTTGCTCAGCCTTTGGGAATCTCCTCCACAGCACTCCTGACACACACAGGCCAGGACAACCACTGCAAAGCAGAGACCCCGAGACCCAGTTCCCTAATTCCCACCATGCCAGCCCGCTTCCACCACGGCCACCTTGGGGTCACCAAGCTCCAGGGAGCACGCGGAGGAGCATGGCACCCCAGCTGGGGGCTGGAGCCACCCTGCCCAGGCCCCCTCACCTGCGCGCCCAGTGGGCAGTAGCCTTTGAGGAAGTCAGTGCAGACCTCTGCTTTCCGGGACACGTAGACATGGCTGTAGGGACAGTCGCTGTTGTTGCAAATCCCCTTCAGGAAGTAGGAGCAGACAGGCATCTAGGGGGGAGACAGGATGTGAGGGCTAGTGGACCCCTGCAGTTTCTCCGTGTGCTGTGGGTGGTGCTACTGCACCTGGCCCCCGAGAGCCCTCATCAGGTCTGACCCACTTCACAGGTAAGAGCACAGTGCATGTGAGCCACACAGAGACTATGGCTGGAGCCCTCACTGGGGCCCTGTCCTGGAAGGAAATGGATGTACTACTGGCCAGCAGGAGCATAGGTGTCAGGGGCCAAGGGCACCTGGGACCAGGCCAGCTGGGGGCTGCCCATCCCAAAATCAGACCCCTGGGTTTCCTTGAAGACATGGTCACACTGGCAGAGCACATCTGCCCTTGCACAGTCCAGATGAGGAAACTGAGGTAGGGCTGGCCCCAGCCCTGCAGGGTGGCTTGGGCCCAAATATGCCATCACGTGCTCTGAGCCTGCCAGGTTTCCAGCCACTGAGCCACTGTGGTATCTAGAAAAGCAGGGCTTGCAGGTAGGGGGAAGCAAAGCATAGAGGCTCTAGGTGGGCAATGGTCTATGGGGCCTGGAGAGCCAGCAGATTTTCCAACTGCCTCACACACAGGCACCTGACAGTGTCCGTGGGCTGGAGACCTGAGTGTCTGGGAAAGCCTGGGTGGTGGATGCTGAATAGGCAGGGAGATACCCTGAAGCAGTCCTAGTCTGTGCAGTGACCACAGGCTAGCCCTGTGGAGGCTGGGCAGGGGGACCCTGGCCCCACCCATTAGTAGGTGGCCACAGGAGACAGCTAGTGGGGGACATGGAGTGGGCAGCCTGAGCAGGGCTGTGCAGCCCCAGTAAGCTAGCTGGGAAGGAAAGAGAGCTGCCACCCACCTCTTCCCTGATGGGGGAGCCTGAGGTCTGGGGCCAGCAGGGGTGCTCCTATTTCACCCACCCTCACCTCTGCAGTCACCACCTTTCCAGGTGACCCCTCTCCCAGGGCCCTTCAGAATGAATGCTGTCCCTCCATCAGGCCCTCTGGTCCCACTGGCCACAAGCTCACACAAAGACCACCCCCTTCCTCAGGGGCCTCTGGGGGAGTGTACCCCTCCTCCTCCCTCCTCTGTGGACTCATCCCACCAGCACCCCACTGCAGCCCACTGGTTCCCAGGTGATCCCCGCTAGCCCATACTCCGGGGCTGGGGTCCTTACCGCACCCCCACAGGCATGTCAGAGGACCCACACAGGGGCTGCAGTGGGGAGGTGGGGGAGAGAGGCTGAGGAGGGAAGGAGGGAGAAAGCAAAGAAACAAAGGGTGATTTACCGTGCAAGAGTTTATTTTTAATTGTCTTTTAACTGCAGCACACAGGGGAGAGGGGCTGGCCCGTTTGGGGCTGGCGTGGTGCGGCTGCAGACAATTCCCTTAATGTGGCTTTTGATATAGAGCCCAAATTAGCTCTAATAAAAAGGGATAATAAAGCCAACTCTTACACCAAACGGAGCTCCTCCTAGCTGTCAGCAGGGCCGTTATCAAGAGGAAACTGCATTCTCATTTCAATTAACCTTGTTTGCACCCACCACGTCCACACAAATAACAATAACATTAATTCAGGGCGCTGGTGCGGGGCGTCCACATTAGACAGCTCAGAATGTGCACCGGCTTTGGAGCTGGGAGCTAATGAACCCGAAACCCGACGTGAATTTCCAAATTGCTCACAACAGAGTTTAGAAGCTCTATTAGGGAGAAAAATGCTGATTCTTTTCAAGTTCCTCAAGGGGAAAAGCTGTTGGAACAGCAGTGTGCCTCTGCCTCCCCTAACCTCGGTGCAGCCCTACCCTGGGCCCTGCTCTCAGGGGCCATTGGGCAGCCTCCCGACAAGGCCGCTGACCCGGACCTCAGCACTCCCAGCTCTGCCCACACCTAGCACGACCCTGCCTCTGCCCCATCATGCGGTCTGTGTGCAACATCACAGGCTCACTGCAGCCCCTAGGCAGGAACCCACAGCCTTCTAACATACCACGCCTCACCCTGCCCCTTGCCAATCCCGGGCCTGGAGAGCTGGTGAAGACTTGGCTGGATCCCAGCCTGGGCCTGCATTCTGGGAAACCCAAGGGCACTGTGGGCCATTCCTCAGGTGGGTAGCATGCAGTAGTGGGTGGGGTGGTCCCTGGTCTGGGGAAAACTCCCCACACTCACCTTCTCCTTGGAGACATGGTGGGAGAAGGGGCAGGTCCCGTCTGTCTTCTTGCATGTGCCCCGGACAAACCTGTAGTGCCAGGGGGTTTGGGTTGGGGGGGTGCTGGTGAGCCCAGGCCAGGGCCCCACCCAGGCCCCTGGCAGCCCACCCGAGGAGCAGTGGGGGTGGGAGGGCACCTGGTACACACGGCCACCTTCTCAGGATCGTGGATGTAGGGGCAGTGCTCGCCGTGGTTGCACCTGCCGAAGCGGTTGTAGTACATGCAGTACTGCTGTGGCCGCCGCTGCTTGGCCTGCCGCACGATGGCCAGGCTGCGCTGCACGGCACGGCTGTGGACAGGGGAGGTTCGTGAGCCTGCGTGTCAGGGACAGGCAGCCCCCTTCCCCCACCCCAGCCCAGAGGGACGTACCTGGCCAGGGAGCGGCTGCAGCTGCTCACAGGGTCCAACCTGCCTGCAGGGAGAGAGGACAGTCACGCCATGCCCGCCCCTGGGCCCTACCTGCTCAGGCACCACTGTTCCCTCCAGGAAACTGCCAGTCCTGCTCTCGGGTGGAGCCTCATGCCCTGCTGGGCCCCTGCCAGGCCCCTCTAGGGATCCAGTGTGGAGGGAGGGGCACTGCTGCCCCATCAGCACAGGGAGAGAGGCCAAGGTGGGGTGTGGGTGCAGGCTGTGCAGCGCCAGTGCTCAGGAACCAGGTCTGACAGCCTTGCTCCCCAAGGCCACCTTGCTTGCTGGCTGGTGGGCTCACTTCAAGGCAGGTGGGCCTAGGAATAGCAGGTGGTGGGGCCTCCGTGCCACCTCCCTCTGCCTGGAAGAAAGCCCAGGGATATGTGACCTGGGTGGGATGCAGAAATACCACCTGCCTTTGTAGTAGCCAAGAATGTTTTTTATGTATTTAAAGGATTGTAAAAGAGGAAAAGAAAAAAACAAGTGTGTGGCTGCAAAGCCTGAAATCCTCACTCCAGGCTCCGTGGGGTGCTGTGTACTGATGCGACCTGTGCTGGCCCCAGTGGACCCTGTGGATGCCCACTCCTTAAAATTCTGAAGTCACCTTCTGGATGTTCCTCAAAACCCTAAGTGCAAAGAGCAGGCAAGGCCTCTCTGAGGTCACTGATCGTGGCCGGAAGGGGAGATGTTTACAGAGCGGACAATGGTGACAGGAAGGGAGTGGATGATGGGCCATTCAAGCAGGGCCATTAGGATTTGGCAGGGTGGGAGGCAGGGGAGGTGGGCCAGACAGTTCTGTGTAGTTGAGCTCACCCTGCAGGAGGGGCATCTGGACTAATATAGAGCCCGTCAGCCTTTTAGGCATGAGGTCACCCCGCAAGACCAAGTTGCAGGGCAGGGCCACAGCCTGCTCAGGAGGCCATGACGGCCCCCAAGTCCTCAAGCAAACATGTGACTCTTCCCAGACCAGATCCAATTTCCCACAGGCAGCTGCTGAAATGGATCTGGCAGTGAGGCAGAAGTGACATTGCCCACTAATTCTAGGGACCCGAGGAGATGACAAAGCATCCCAGGCTTAAAAGGGGATGTCCCCAAGCCGCCTGGCCCTGAGCCGCCCCCACTGCAGGCCACCCTTGCTCCCCTAGGGCAGCCTTTCCCAGGGCCCAGTCAGCTCGGTGCCGTCTCCCAAGCACCATCCAGAACTGGTCACACAAGTGTTGTGACGCTTCACACAGCCTGCCCAAAACCTAATCCCCTGGCACCGCACAGGGGCCTTCTCCACATCCCACCCAGGGCCAGGCCCTAGCTGCTCCAGACACTCCATGCGCCTCCCAGGCTGGCGCCCTCACTGCCCTGCCGGAGCTGCCTCTCAGCCAGTGTCTGCCCTGCAGCTCCAGGGCTGAGCAGTGGGGCCCCCAACAGAAGGGGAGCGCTAGACACAGTGGCCCAGGCCTAGGCAGCCAGGACATGAGTAGGGCTGGCTGGGTGCCTGGGGTGGCGAAACACACAGAGGGCCGTGGTTTGGGCATGGGGTGGACAGAGGGGACTCTGGGGTGGGAGAGAAGGCTCAGTGCACAAGGGGCCAACAAGGAGAGGGACTCAGGACAGCCCCAGGCCACAGTGGAGTCCTGGTTCTGAGGCTGGGGACACTAGCTGGGGGGCGGAGGGTAGTGGAGGCTGGTCCAGGTGGTATGTGGTGCCCATATACCTGCCAGCCCACGGGCGACAGAGTGCAATTTGATAGCTGTTGGTGAGCACAGCTCCCTGGGCTGTCGCCCAGGTTGCCGGTGACGCTGTGGCGCCGTCTGCTCCCACCAGGGACTGCTGTCATCTCATGTCTGCCTGATACGCCACAGCCCCCAGGCCGGCCTCGGAGGGTGGAGTGGGGTGGGGTGAGGGGAGTTACTCCTGTTCCCACATTTTGCTCTTCAGTTGCCAGTGTGGAGCTCACGGTGGGAGTTTTGATGAGAACAGGAGGCACCTTTTCAAATTCTCTGCAGTGTTAAAAAATGCACATAAAGTAGCTAGCTTGAAAAGAAGCCTCTGAGAGGGAGAGGTGCTAAAAAGTTCAGCTGAAAACCCTCAGCAACCTTGGAGCAGAGGAGCTAAGCCTTCAGAGAACTTGCACTTCCCGGGGATCTTCCCAAAATAGACACAGCCAGCTCAGCTCCCGGCAGCCCCCACGCCCTGTCAGTCCCCAGGCAGCACCTACACTGGGGCTCTGGGGTCAGAGGGGGCGGCCAGGCAGCACCGCCATCTTCCACGGCCCTGAGGCTCCATGAGCCCGGGCCAGCCTGGCCTTCCCCAGGAAAGCGGAACCCTGGTCTGCAGAGCACAAAGTTCTCTAGGCCCTGCCCTCGCACACAATTACCCTTGGGAAGAAGACAGAAACTGGGTATTGGGCTCCCCCCAGCAGAGGGGAGCCCCAGGGACATCTGGGAGGGGGCAACAGAGGAAGCTGACAGGGCCCTCTTACATGCCATTCTGAGTGCCCTCGCAGCACCCAGGGCAGGGCCACAGGTCATAGGTCACCAAGGAGGAGCTGAGGCCCAGGGGCACATGGTGACCAGTCAGTAGCAAGGAGGAGGCTGCCCGCCACCATGCACTGGGCCTTGCTCTGGGACCCAGGGCTCAGAGGCAGTCCTGCAGCGTGGGCAGAGCCTGCTGGCTCTGGCAAGTGGTTTCTGCCCACGCCCACGCCCCACAGAGATCACAGACCCAACAGGGCACGCAGCAGAGCGCATGCCTGCATGCACCAGGTCCTTGGCCAAAGCAGGTGGGGAAGGGTCCTGGGACAGGGCCCTCTGGGCAGTCAGGCCTTGGACCCAGGAAGGAAGAGCTGGGCTGCAGGGCTCAGAGGCTGAGGTCTGCCTGTCTGGAAGCCCTGCCCTCCTCGCTAGGGGCTCGCTCCCAAGCAACCAGGGCTGATGCTGTCCTGGAGAAGCAAGGAGGTGAAGTGGAGGAGGAGGAGCCCCCGCCCCCCATGAGGACCGCTGCATTTTCCCTCCAAGTCAGAGTTCCGCTGACACCAGAGGAGAAAATTTATATCTTTAATTACTATTCATCTAAGTGGGCCGCTGGTCAGTGGGCATTCTCACAGCTGGGAGCAATATGCCTTTCTCACAGTGAGGACTCAGCCACCAGTATGGGGGTCCAGGCAGCTGGGGCAGGGGGCCATGCGGGCTTGGGCTCTGCCTTGTGCCCATGACAGACTGCCCTGAGGTCTGTGCTCCAAGTTCTACCTCCCTGGCCCTGCCCAGGACTGCCCCTCAGCCACCGAGGTCGGTCAGCAGAATTAAGGCAGCATAGTTTCCAGGGGCAGGTTATCTGGGAGGAGTCCTCACGGGCCCCGGCCCACCCCCTCCAGGAGGCCTCTCCTGCCCAGCGCCTGGAGGGCTGGGAAGAGGAGGGGCGGGGAAGGCCAAGACAGCCTGCCCACTGCCTGGATCCTCGCTCTGCTCTGAGTTCTGCTGTGTGTATAAGTGGGAAGGCTGGTTTCTGCGGAGCTCAGCACTCGGAGGGGAGCGTGCTCAGCAAGGCACCCTCCCCAGTGAGAAGCGTGACAGCTTCCTGCTCAGGCAGGGCGGGCCTGTGCTAGGTAGGGAGGGAGCACCCCCAGCCCCTAATGCAGGCCCCTCCTGAATACTCAATCACCCCCAAGGCACCGCCTGGCTCTCCCCAGGGCTCCCTGTGTGGCTGCCTGCAGGTCTGTAAGGAGGCCAAAGCCCAAACCCGCCTCTCCTCTCAGCTTCTAGGCGCCTCCCCTCCTATAGCCCCTCTGGGTCAGGGTCCACTGGAGGTGGCTTGCACGAGGCAGGATCCCAGCAAGGGCCGTGGTGGCCCCAAACCACTGCTGCTCCTAGGTCCCTGGATGCCAATGGCACAAATGCCAGGACAGTTGGTCTCACCATGACCAGGGAGGAATACCTAAGAATGAGTAAGCAGCACCCAGCCTTCCCGGGGCTGATGGACACGGGTAGGGCTGCTCTAGTGCAAGTGGCCCTGTGATGCCTCGGCCATGGAAACATCAACAGAGTGGGCACCCTGTCCATCCTGTCCACCCGCCAGTGAGCTCCAGTCCACCCCCCAAACAAGCACAGCAGGGTCCTGCCTGCTGGGTCCGCCACCAGGTGCTGGGGCGGGTGGAGGGTGATGGATGGGTGATGCCAGCCAGTGCTGTGGGGGACTTTTGCCAAGGAGGCCCAGGGGCAGGCTGGGGCCAACAGGTGCATCCGCAGAGAGGCTGCCTACAGGCCCTGTCATGCGGGCCAACGAGGCCATCACTCTGAAAGTGGCTGTGAGCCTCTGCGCTCCCCCTCCCCCCCATCAGCCTAGCTGGGGCCAGCTCTGCGGAGGGCCCGGCTCACCACAGCCAGCTGGAAGGCACTCTGCTTTGTCCAGGAAATGGCCGTGGACAGAACAGGGGTCCAAGAGCCCTGCACTCCGCGACGCCAACAGCTGCATGTGGGGCCCCACAGACCACAGGCGCTGCTGCCATGGGCCTACTGAGCCATGGGGTCAGAGGCACACGAAGGGGTGGCATCCCCTAGTGCTGAGTCTCCCTGCAAGAAGGCACAGCCAGTGCTCTGCACCTGTGACCTCGCTGAGCAAGCACACCGAAGCCAAGGCAGAAAGACCCTGAACCATCACACAGCCCAATTCCCTGAGGAAGAGATGGGGAAACTGAGGCACACGGGGATGGAGCAGTCATGCCTCCTGGGCTGCCCGATGTGCCTCACCTGGAAGAAGGCAGCAGGGCATGCTGAGTCCCACAGGCAGAGGCCCAGGAAGCAGAGCCTGGTGGGGCCTCTGGGGAGGAGCTGGCCAGTGCCCCAGCTCCTCTCCTGCCCGGGCCTCTTCTCCCACCGCCACCTGCAATGTCAACCTTTTTGTTTTGACAGAAAAGGAAGGGGGTAAAATGGAACTGAAACCAAAATGCTTCCTAGTTAATTTTCACAATAAGTGAATCCAAAGCATTTCCCTCTCCTTAGCCCCCCAGGCCGTCGGGGCATGGTGGGGGCATGGTGGCGGTGGTGCCTCCAGGTGTGGCTGGGAGGCATGGCCAATGCAATCACGCTGTGGTGCCAGGTGCTCACTCACCCACTGTGCTTACCATACCTGGCTCATCTCCTTTGTCTAGGAGCAAAACACGGGAAAGGGCCGCACAGCCAAGCGAGAGGCGGCCCCTTCCCTGGGGGATGAGGAAGCTGCGAGGTCTCCCCATCCCTGCCTGCCAGCTCTGGCTGTCCTGTCGCCTCCTTGGGGGCAATCACCCAGACTCTGAGAGCACTGAAGAGTAAAACAAACTCCTGGGCTAAGCATTCTCTCAGCTAGGCTCCCTGAGAGCACAAGGACCCCCTGGGCAGCAAGCCCAGAGCGGAAGAGGCCCAGGGCTTCCTGGAAGCTACCTGCGGAGCCCTACCTGCGCGCAGGAGGGGCCTGCTGCCCCCATCGCCAGTGGGCCGGCTGTAGGTCTTCGAGAGCTTGTTGGCCGACACTCTGTAGAGGACCCCTCCGATGCAGCGGTAACCTCTGCTCTGCCACCGAGGGGAGCTGGGCTGGGTTTTCCCAGCCCGGGTGGCAGGGCGCAGGCGGTTCAGCACCAGGGACCTGCAGAGACAGGAAAATGCTCATCAGCCCAGCCCCAGATGTCCAAAGTCAGGAGACCTCTGTCCCCTGGTTCCCTAACAACCAGTAGGCACAGGAGGTGGCACACCCAACTCCACCAGCCAGGTTGGGACCACATGAGCCCCTGAAGGACACGAGGTGGGGACAAGCCCTCCCCTCCAACATTCACACCCTTATTAAGACATGACCGCCTGGGCCCTGGCCTCCTGGCAGGAGCTTCTAAGGGAGTTCCATTGTGAGGAGAAGGTCCTCAAGCATCTACACCAAGGCTGGTGGTCATGGACGCTGCCCTAGCACATGCCACCCCAGTCTCAGGCCACTGTAGGGTCAGCAGGCTCTACTGCAAGCCCTTGTCCTGCCCTCTCCTCTATCCACCACATGGAGAGTGGCCTCATGGACCCCTACCTGTTTGGGGGAAGACTGGAGTTGCCTCAAGGTCAAGGGCTGCAAGAGGCCTGGGGACAGCCTTTGGGGTTAGCCAAGCAGATGACCCAGGCCAGGAAGGTGGGCCCATGGCTGGACAGTCCTGGCGGTTGGCTGGCCACTCCCTCCCTCCCATCCAGTTCCTCTCCTGCCAGGCTCTGGGCCCTGTCCTGCCAGACACTCATACCCCCAGGGAAGCCCCAGGGCAGAGCAGGTCCAGGAGGCCCGAGGTGCCCCCACTTAGAGAGATGGCCAGTGGGCAATGGCCATAGGCCCCCAGGTCGGGCTGTTAGGCCAGCACCAAACGTGGGCACTGAAGTAGCTGACAAACTCCCCCAAGCTGTCACTCAGGCAGGTTGCACTGAGGTGAGGGGATAGGCCCCCGGATGTGGGGCACCTAGCGTGGAGGCCAGCCACGTCTCGGCTGCAGAGGGCATATTTCAGCAGTAATTTATTGACGCAAATTGAGCTTAATTCTGTATCAGCTCAGACTGTGTACAATGCTATTATTACCACTGAGCATACACACTGTGCCCCACTGGCAAACCTGGGCAAATGAGGGCCCGCTGCCCCTGAGCACATTGCCTCTACCCAAAGATGGCCCTAAGCAGTAGGAGGGCAAGGGTGTGACAAGGGTGGCCCTTACTGTGGGTGTCCCCTGCAGCAGCGGCTCAGGGGGCCTGTCCCAGGGGCCCAGCGCCATGACACCTCCCTTCTACAGCCTCTGATGTGCTCACGTTGAGGTCCCCACAGCCCTGCAGCCCCCTCCCTTGTGGAGAACATGGATGTCCAACTCCACCTGGGACAGTAATTGACCCTTCCATGGCTACCCAGAGGTCTGAGAAGTGCAGAGGGGACGAGGCAGGCCTCAGGGTGTCCCAGCACATGGACCAGCTCTGGTGGTGGCAGCCATCAAGGCTGCTCACCGTGGACTCACTCAGAGCGAAGGGGAGGTACTGGGGTGGAGCAGCCCTACTCTGGGGCACGGCTGCCACCCCCACCTCGGCCCTGCAGCCCCTCTGCACCCTGGCCTCTCCATCTTGCTAGCCCTGAGTCTCCGAGGGCCCAGGAGAGAAGTAGTGTGTGCGAGTGGGCTAGGCGCTCGGGGCCAGGGCTGCAGCATAAGTACAGGCGCCCAGCGGGGAGCCAGAGGAGTTGCTGCAGCCCAGAAGCACTTAACCCAGTTTCCCTTAATTAAAACTCAAGTTTACAAACACCAATCTTGGAGGGAATGAGTCCCACCAAGGAGCCCCAGTACAACAGACTGTATGTCTGTGCGAGACAGGCCAGCTGCCCCCACACAGCACACATCTGGGCAGGTCAGTGGGGAGGGGTGGGTATCCACTGGGGAGGCAGTCAGACCTCCGGGCTCTTGGCAGACCTGAGGCCCCCAGCTCCACTCACTGAACCTCAGGGTGTGTGCGTGTCCAGTGGGCGCCTGCCCTGTGCCCTGGCCCATGTGAGGCAAGGCTGAGGCATGAGGAACAGGGCTTGGGGGAAGTCTTTTCCTGTGCCAGACCCTTGCTGCAAAACTCCGTCAGCCCTGGGGCTGGCTCAGGGGTAGCTCTCGACCCTCCGCAGGAGCTGTGGCCACTGTCTACAGGGCACAGCTCACCCTGAAGCCTAACCCCCACAACCGACAGCTGAGTCCAGGACAGTGGCCACTGCCGTGCACTCAGCCCAAGGCCAACAGGCTCAGCCTCCAGCCCTCTGCTGCCCAGAGCCCTCAGAAGTCTCACAGCCAGGAGGCAGCTACCCCTTTGTACACCAGCCTGGGCCAGGGCTCTAGGAGGCCTCCACTCCCCATCCCTGGAGGGTGAGAGAACCGGCATATAAAGGTGCCAGGCTCTAGCCATCACCACCGAGTGGCCACTCAGGGCCATCCCCCAGACCTCCCAAGGGACTCTGCAACAGATATTCGGGGCTGCCACTTGGTGAGAACACGGACAGCCCTGTTAGGTATCTCTTCCCTTGGGAGTGGGGCTCTCCGTTCTTGGACAGCCACTCCTGCCCAGCCCCTCTGTCTATAGCACTGGACACCATGAAGCATGAGGGACAAGTGGGCAATCAGATGGGTGTACCACCCCTGCCTGCGCCCCACACATCAGGACGTGCTTGAGAAGGTGAAAGGGAGGAAGCAGGACCCCAGATAGCCACAGAGCCCAACCGTCCGAGGGGTGGGAAGCTCCCCACCTGTGGGCATGTGCTCCTGGCTGAGGCCAGACAGACCACGCCCATAGGCAGCCACACGGGTGAAGCCACAGGATCAAAGTTATACGAGGCAGTCAAAGAAAGAGATGGCCAGGCTCAGGACAGGACAGGACAGGCGGGGGTGAAGGCTGGCAGGGCCTCCTATCAGAAAGAGCTGGAAGCTTCAGGGCAGAGTGTGTTCATGTCAGTGGGTGGTCCCATCTTGCCCCATGACAGCCTGTGTCCCACAGCTCTGGGCTCAGAGGAGCCTCAGTCTGGGGTCATTAACGGCTCACCCTTAAGGGCAGGGTCTCAGGGACGTCCTCCCTGTGTGCAGGCTGGGTGCTGCAGCCGGCTGTGCCCACTCCATGCAGAGAAGTGCACTCCATTAATTACTGCCCATCCTGATTTGTTTTAATAGCTACAAGGCACCTCTCAGCAGACATTCTTTCCTCAGACACTGCTGATTATTCCCAGTTATTCTTGTGGATGAGCACAACCACTCCACCTCCCCTTCGCCCACCCTACCAAGCACATCCCTGGGTCTGATGGAAACCACAGAGGATCACAGGCCATCCAGGAGGCCCTCCTGCTCTGGTGCCCAGCTCTGTGCTTACAGCCTGTGCACACACAGGTCCCTGGGAACAGCCTGGGGCCCACAGCCTCCACATGCATAGCCAGGAGCCCGGGAGCCTAGGTAGGAGAAGCTTCTGGGGCTGCCTGGAGGAGGTGGACACACCCTCATAACTCAGGAAGGGCTGGCCAGGTTGGGGAAGGGCCCACCAGCCCACGGAAAGGGCCAGCCTGCACCTGCCAGGACCACCTTCATCCTTCCCTCACCACTGCGAGCCCCTCCTGCTGACTTTGGGCCTGTGGCAGGAAGGCACCCTGGCAGCCCTTGTTGCTGCGGTGTCCCAGCACTCTGGCAGATCATTGCCCTAATGGAAGGACAGCCTTTGGAAACGAGCTGTATTGGGAAGAGGGGATAAAATTAATGAGATAATAGCCAGGCCAAGGACCTGGAGAACACTCCTGCCCTCACGGCTGGGCCCGTAATTCCTTTTCTACAACAGGGGCCTCGGATCTAAAGGCTTCTCCCATCCGTCCGGCAGGCCCAGGCCGCCAGGAAATTTCATTAACGCTGGAAAATAGGAAAGGTATTAAGCGTGGATAATGAAGGCCGGGGAGGGAACCGAGCCTTAAGATAGTCCTCTTTCTCGCCTTAGTAATGGGAGGCATGAACTTTCCCTTCAAATCCATTTCTAATCCATTTGAAATACTACAGCAAATTATCTTTTCTTCTGCCCGAAAGCGGCCAGCCAATTTACTCCGAATAGAAGTGACAATGCCCCAGGATTTATCACCATAACCTTGACTACACCAGGGTGAGGGCTGGGCCTCCCCTCGCAGGCCCCCCAACTGGGGGGGCCACAAAGGACGGGTGGGGGAGATAACATTTTAAATGAAAAGCAGTGGTAATGGGGAGAAAGACACACACGCCACAAAAGTAGTTTTAAGGAGAAAAATTGTATCTGCTGCCTGGGGAGCAGCTAGAAAGTTCCAGGCCTGAGGCAGTCCAGGCTGGCCAAAGGGCTCTGCCCATGTGGACCCTCTGACTTTCTGTGCCCAGGATGGAGAACGACGATGGGGCTGGGGCGGGTCTGCCTGGAAGAGGAAGAACCAAGGGAGAAGAAAGGGGAGAGCGCATCAGGCTCTGGGGCAAGACACACAGGCTTTGCCTGAGAAGCCGGAGAAGAGGGTGGGGGGGCCCCTCCTCAGACTGCAGGGCACACCAAGGGCAGAGGCCAGGAGTGCCCAGTCTGCCAGGGCTCCCCCACCCGCCAAGGGCTTTGAGGCCAACACCGGACACCGATGCTCCCTCCTCCCTAGGCGCCCCATGGATGTAGCCCGGAGCAGGCCCATGTGTCTCCCTGCCTCGGGTCTGCTCTCAGGCCTCGTGGCTGAGATGGGTCCGCCCAAGGCATCTGAGGCTACATACATGTCTTCGCAGCCAGCGGCACGGGTATGCACACGTGCAGCAGACAGGCCAAAAGCTCCTGGATGCACGTGAGCACAAGCACCCTGCCCAGCCCAGTGACAGAATCTGACAAAAAGCAGCCCCTCCCGAGGGCTCAAGGTAAGTGCTGTGCTCCAGGCAGGCCTGCCTCCTTAGTGCCCCAGACCCTAGGCTGAGGACAAGAGGCCCACCTGTGGCATGTCAGGTGAAGACCCAGGGAATGGTCTGCTCCTGACCAAGGGCAAATTCAGGAGCAGATGGGCGAGGGCAGGGGAAGAGGTCTGTCCTAGAGACCCTAGCAGCCCTGGCCTCTGGAGGCCCAACCAGGGCAAATCTCACTGGAAGCTATACC